GAATAACAACAGTTATGGTGTGAACCAGATTAAGCATTCGAATTGTTATTATTGTCATTTGCGAGTCAGATTTTTAGGGTAAGAATAAATAACACTATATTATTTATTTTATATTTAGCACTGATTATTTATCTATTTTTATTATTTTACATGAGTTAACTTTACTATCATTCACAAGAACTGGCAAACCTCCAAGCTAGCCTTCTTATTGCCATAGCTAGTCGGGCAGTAACAACGTCAACGGGAAAAAAGCATATTATTAATTCTAAGAATCCATAAGTGAAAGCAAAGGTAAATAAATGTCAACCACTAATACATCTTGCCATATCCAGTGTCAACGAGGTCCTTTGACTAATATCAGGGCTCATTAGGCCAGCTAGGATACAACAGACATAGTAGTGGTCCACACGCTCTCTCTCTCTTCATAGAGCAATTGCAAGCAAGAAAATTTACCATTAATCTGTATATGTAGAGACTAGTAGTATATGGTTTGTCAAAACAAGAATTGCAGAGATAAGTTTTGTAAAATGTATAATATCCATCTTTTCCTTATTGAAACATTTTAAATGTTTTGAAATCATTTTTTATGAATATATATTTACACCAGAGTCTAGTTTTCACCTTAGATTAGAGATAGGAGAAAATAAATGAATTTAATAGATTGGAATGTTTACATAATTATCCAATGAGAACATATTAAACAATCACGAAATTTCGTGGAGTTTAACACTCAAAAACACCCACTCTCCGATAAATGTTTCACGCGTACACTTGCACTTAGCAAGCTGTTTTCGTTGTAATTCGAAGATGGATCCAGCCACAGCCAGTTCCAAGTGGTTCTTGTTCTAAACTCTTATAGCTATTAATGCCTACTCTTCCGAGGAGCGTCAAAAGAACAAACGAACCAACGCTTCATTAAGGACACAGCGGAAGGCAGATCCAGTGGTACAGCCTAATGTGATATGTTGAAGACAAGGCATTGTAACACGCCCGGGAAACTGTTTCAGTGTTTACCAACCACCTAGTGTAGAAACCTGCTGGTCCTCTAGCACAACGTTGACATTTCAACTAATCTGAACTGGCTTTTTTCTGGTTGGTAACTGTAGAGTTAGTCAACATCGATAACTGTTACTACGGTTTCAGTTTGCCAAAGTAAATAAATGATAGTGAAAAAATAATTCACGTAATACAGGCAACATTTAATATTCTTAATTTATAACTGATATAAACTTTGAGGTTTTTTTTAAAAATAAGTTTAACGGATTCGTAATTACGGTGCTTGCCAATTCTGTTAAACTTCACCCAGTAAGAGATATTATATATATATATGTCTGTTTATTTATCACATATATTCACTCTGAACAGTTGTTCGACTTTCATAAAATTTTTATTTTATTCTGTTCGAATCGCATCCTTTATACAATATTTAGTTGAATTCCTAAAGAAAAAAAATCGTAACAACCTAGTATCCTTAAAAATCTTCAAAATGAAAACTCCTTAAATCTGTAGGCAGTTCTTAGTTTAAAATAAACAAATATCGAAATACGTTATTGTTTGAAACCTTAAACCTTCTGTAACTTTACAAAATATTTTATTTCATACTTTAACAGACTTATGCTCATTTTTAAATTCCGTTATGATATAATGACAGGACAACATTTAACATTAAACGAGAATACTCTGCGACCAGGTCTTAAACCCAGGATTTCTGACTAACGGGACATTGGCCCCGATAACTAGAAGTCCTGGGTTCAAGTTTCAGATCTCTTTTCTATGTACCTATCATACTTATAATAAGAGGCTTTGTAAGTAAACGCTGGGCCCGGCATGGCCAGGTGGTTAGGGCGCTCGACTCGCAATCTGCAGGTCGCGGGTTCGAATCCCCGTCACACCAAACATGCTCACCCTTTCAGCCGTGGGGGCGATATAATGTGACGGTCAATCCCACTATTCGTTTGGATACACGGACCATATACTTAACATTAAATTCCACGTAAAAAAAAGAGACTCCGCAATAGGGACTTGAACCCAGATGCCTCACTAACAGAGACAGTGTTATACTGTTGAACTGTTCAAGATATAAACCATCATCGACAGCGTTTACTTGTTTGTTTATTTTTGAATTTCGCGCAAAGCTACACGAGGGCTATCTGCGCTAGCCGTCCCTAATTTAGCAGTGTAAGACTAGAGGGAAGGCAGCTAGTCATCACCAACCACCGCCAACTCTTGGGCTACTCTTTTACTTCATAACGTAATGTTAATACTACAAAAAACATTGCCATAAAAGCAAGTTGTGATAATTGTTAGGCATCACCGGCATTAAACAGTTTGTTTAAATTACATTTAACAACGGTATAAAAATCATTTTAGTTATGTACAATAAAGTTAATACTTAAAAAAATAAATTTACGGGAATAATCGTAAGGATCAAGATTTGTGACTTTCTACTCGTTTTCTTGGAATCACAATATTCTTAGGGTAACTACAATATCGGAAAATATTCCAATAACGTTATCCCATCTTTTTAAAAGTGTATATTTTTCTAAATTTTCTATATTTTTCATTTTAATTTTGCCTCTTAGCAAGAGTTCTGTGTTCAGTCAATTTTTCTCTTGCAATTCTTCTCGCTTTGAAGTTTGTCTCCTTGTCTATTTGAAAACGTTAGTCATGAAACACTGTATTTAGTTACTTTGTTTGTTTTTTGAATTTCGCGCAAAGCTACACGAGGGCTATCTGCGCTAGCCGTCCCGAATTTAGCAGTGAAAGACTAGAGGGAAGGCAGCTACTCATCACCACCCACCGCCAACTCTTGGGCTACTCTTTTACCAACGAATAGTGGGATTGACTGTCACATTATAACGCTGAAAGGGCGAGCATGTTCTGTGTGACAGGGACTCGAACCCGCGACCTTCAGATTGCGAGTCGAGCACCCTAACCACCTGGCCATGCCGGGCCCCACTGTATTTAGAAAATTTTCTTTACAATTTAGTGTGGAAGTAACATATACACTTGAAACGAAATCAACACATTCATCATTGAATGTAAAAGTATTTTGAGTGAATTGGAAGTTGATTTAAAGCCCTTATTTTCTAGCTGGTGAAATGTTTATTACAGAGAAATAAACACATATAAGACTCGGCACGGCCAGGTGGCTAGGGCGCTTGACTTGCAATCTGACTTTAATATATCACCTGGTATTAATATACCTTCACCTACAGTTACGTGGTAGTAAATACCGCAGAAGCATCCAAAGTAAAAAATGACTGCTATTCAGAGCTTGTAATGATGTTGAAACAGATGACAGCATCAAAGATCTAAATACAAGCCTATTCTACAATTCCTGACATCAACACGTGTAATTCTGAAATGACCATGACTTCCAGTTCTCATTAACAAGAGCTCACAAGATCTTATCATCAAACAGATTTACACAAAAACATATGGTAGGAGGAAAAACACAATGTAAACAAGATTAAAAAAAAAATGCATATGTAGGCTCGGAATGTCAACACCTTATAAAAGGTGATCAGATACTACTTTAAATTTTATGTAGCTAAAAATAACCCTATGTTCCTGCTTAACTAACAAAGAATGTTCAATTTTAATGTATTACATTGTAAATCATTTCTATTACCTCCATTTAACTGAACAATAAATACGAATTTTGACTCCGTATATAACAGCCCCCCCAAAGACATGGTGGACATGGACACCCGCGAGGCAATGCCCCCCCCCCCAAATACTGAGAGACATATTTATTTATTTATTCATAATATATACCCTTTATCTCGACTTTGTAAAGCACAAAGCTACACTATGTGCTCTGCTTACCACAGGTATGGTAATCAATTTTTAGCATTGTAAGCCTGCAGATTTATTGCTGAGTTATAAGTGTGCAGATATAATGCTACTAAATGACTGAAACCTTCGTATTTGATATTTTCAGAGGGGCTGGATAATGTGCTCTATAAATATAATAGTTACATTAGTTCATTTGTTGTTAACATAATATGTGACAATTAAAGACTTAATTATAATAACTGAAATTGATTGGTTGAGTTTGGCTTTACTGATTTTAAAACATTCTGAGTTTAAAATTTTAAAAAAGTATAATAAAAAGACATTAAATTGAACAAAATTTCTTTAATAATGCAGGGGTTTTGTTTCCATAGGGCAGGAGGAAGTTTCCCCCCTACTATTAATCCTTCCCCTCTGGATCAATTGTAAATTTGAAAGTTTTTTCAATATAATTACCCTTAAAATTTCCATTTTAAACATACTTGTAATAAGTTCTTTGTGAATACAACAAGACCACGTTTATACAAATACTGTGCCTTTGGCACTTGAAAGCCCCATTCCACACGAGTCACCAAATAAAATCCTTTTGCTCCCCACAAAAGAAGTATGAAAGAAAAATGTTGACAATATAAAATGATCGAGATGTAGTAAATCAATGACATTATGCGAGTTTAATGTTCTCAGGCAAAGTCAACCTTACTGCGCAGACTCAACTTATTTTGAAGTCTTTTTTTTTATAAGCATAAACCAGTTAGCAAGTGTCTTGTTTGCCTTGATAAAGCCATAACAGTGAAACACCGGCTTAAATAAAACTAATTATGTTTCTGAAATTACAGATTGCGCTATATTTCTCCTTTTAACAAACCAATGATATCTTTAATCATACAATAACTTTATTCGAATGTTTATTTTAGTGCCTTTTACTGGTTTTTCATATATTTCAAAGTACAACTGGCAATGGTAATGGTACATTTTAAATTTGATTTAATGTAAAGTTTTCAAGTTTTATGATGAATCTCAGAGCTAGGTGCCAAACTGATGGATGAAGAAAAATGTCCTTCTCCCTTCCCTGACATATGATAAATAATAATGAGTCTACATGTAATCTCCTCTAAAATCTATACAGATAATCTCTTGATTGATATAATATTTTATAATCTACTGAAAACCTTTAATTTATAGCTGCAGTAACACAAACAAAATAGATACAATACTAAATTTATTAATCTAACAATGTACACAACATTCCCAAGATACAAACTCACATTTAAACTGTTTAATGCTTTATACACAAAACTGATACTTTTAACCAATTAGTTCTTTGTGAAACAATAACAATGAATATATTTTAGATCATATGTTACCAAGAATTATAAACACACAATTTTAAACCTAATATTCCTATTAACACATAGGTATCTTAATTTATTAGAAGATGTTTGTTTTAAATAGGACAGCTTTATTCAATTTGAAAAGCATAATCAGGCTTAAATAGGGATTCAACTGTAGGGATTTTTAGCAGTTTCAATATTTAACAATAAAAAAATGTATTAAACTGTAAAATAAAACTAAATTTAATCAAAAAAAGTAAAAATAACAGCTGCTGCCTTCTTAGTGCAAAGCTACTCAATGGGCTATCTGCACATTGTTTGATGCAGGGAGTTGAACTGCAGATTTTGGTATTGTAGGTCTGTAAACTTGTAGATAACATACCATGGAGCTGAGATGACGGCAATCATAAACATTTCAGATTATACATAATCCATCTTCAGAAGTTCTAAATTAAAATATTTAACTTTTGCATTTATTAGCTGTTAATACTTAATTCTAATTTCTTCTTTGTTGTAGTAAACTGCTAAAAATTTATCATGTATAATCCAAAATGTCCAATTAAAATGTGTTAATTATTACACTGCCTTTCCTTTTCTGATCAAATTATGTTTCCAAACAATTGAATCAAACTTAAACATTCACTAAAGTTTTTAAAGGCAAACTGTGAGAAAAAAATGCAACTCCTTCCAGATCTCAACTAATGTGATTTTTTTCTACTCAGAAAAAGTGAATGCATTTTCTTGCCCTCTACTCAAACGGAACTGGTTATTATAAGGAAGTGAACAAAATTATAGTTGCCTTTCACAGCTAGAAAACCTCTACTCAAACAAAATTGGTTATAATAACACAGCAGACATAATTAGTTTTCTTTCACTGCTAGAAAACCTCAACACAAACAAAACTGGTTATGATAAGACAGAAGACATAATGTTAGTTGTCTTTCACTACTAGAAAAACCTCTACAGTTATACTTTAACTTTAGCCTCTACTTTTATTTGGGTTACATCTATGTTTAATTAAAGCTTAGCTTGTGAATTCTCCACGTCATAAAGAGTACCAAATATCCACAAGAAAGACTTTACTATTTGTTTATATTTCTTTCTCTTGAATTTTAAAGTAATCTTTACAAAAACAAACACTGAAGAAGAAAACTAACCAGCTAACTACTTTCAATGTACAATTATAACCTGTTGCCATAATAAGCAACCTAACATATCACAATTCTTGGGTTCTCTTAAGAATTTGTACTATTACATTAAAAGTTAATACCTGTAGCAGTCCATGTTTCACATTTTATGCAAACAGAAAGAGAAAAACATAACATAATACCAATTAATTGGGATAATCTACAGTTTTACACAATAATTTCGTTTCAAATAAAAAAAGGTTTTTATATTGGCACACCTGTCACTACAAAAGTTATGGAGGGGCAACAAATCCTGCTGGTGGAGTTTTTGTCAAGACTTCCTGCATATCTGTTGGAAAAAGAGCAAGAAATTTGAGCCTGTCTCCCATTTTGTCAGAACTGACAAGCATTTCGTAGCCAGACTTTAATTGTTTTTGTAACTCTGGGGTAGCAGATTTCAGAAGTTTCTGAAATAAGAAAGAAAAAAAGAAACAAGGTAAAAATATTAAATACAAGGCATTGTTGATAATATAAATTTTACACACCAGAACTATATATATATATATATATATATATACATAAAGGAAATTATGCTCTGAAATCACCGTATTAACTACTTTAAATGAATTATTGAGTTTATATTCTAGATATAGTAGCTAGCCAATACATTTCTGTTAGTGATTTACTGGCCCCCCCAAAAAACAAACACTTACAAAAAAACATTCCCTGATTTAAGGCATATGTTCCCTGACTGTATGCATCCTGGAAAAACTTGAAATAGTGATAGTGAAACCTAAGATCCAAAGTGATTTAACTTGTAACAATACGAAGTTTAAGTTATTTTTAGTTTATAATTTTTTGTGACCTTGAAGGATAAGTAATTAATGAAAGTTTTTAAACTATGTCAGTAGGGAGTGTTGGAGAATGATTTCAATAAGAAAAAATAAACATTAGTTGCATGTTTGTACTATTTTAAAATGTTCAGAAGTTTTAAAACTGAAACTATAAAACTTCTGCAAAGGAAGATGAATGCACTTAACAAAGGTTCACAATCACAGTGTAAAAAAAAGATAAACTATATTATGTAATTTAACAACTTTTTTTGGTCCTAATTGTCATATTATTAATAATGAATATTCAAAACTAATTCATTCGATATGAGGCTAAAAGTTTGACTATATATATAAAGTTGGGTGTGGGGAGATCTGTATAAAAGACTAACCTTTACTGGGAAGATGGAAAATAAATAATATGGAGATAATAGTAAATGACTTAGATAAATTGTTAAACAAATCATCAAAAAATAAAACACAAAAATACTTATATTTCAATAAAGTTAGTACACAATGTTTCAGGCTACTGTCCTTTTCTAGGTAATTTTGCCAATTGGAATGTTTAATAGTTTTTAATTAAGTCTATATGTACCTCCAGCCTTGCTTTAATAGACATGTTTTCAAGAAACATTCCCTGTGGTATGGGACCATATGTTAGTGCTGAAAATGGAAAAAATTTTTTGAGAAAATTCACCTCCTATAGAAACTAAACAAATAATACACAATGAATACACATCGACTTTGATTACACCAAGTTTAGTACATAGATAAGAACTACAGATATATTCCTAGTAATAAGCATAACAAAGTAAATATGATGTTCAAACTATATTACTTGTAATGATTAGAATGCATTGTTTCATCAATTGGGTACCCTCACTGTTAAGGTTTCACAAATAAATAAACAACAACAAAAAAGTATTAATCACTATAAAAGCATAGTTATGGTATAAGATAAGAAATCCATGGCTGTAATGCAAGTGAATCTTTACTTATATCCAAGAAAATGTAAAAAGTATATATTTACCTATTTGTCATAACCACAATATTCAATTAAAGTAATTTGAAAATGCAACAATCATATAATGATGTGATGATGATTACCCCAGTCATGCTTATTATTATACATACATATCTTACATTATAAGATACAATTACAAGTTTTGTAAAACATTTTACAAACATCTGACAATATAAAACTCGTGTAGAACATATTGAAGTAAAACTGGATTAACCTCAGACCTAATTTTCATTTCTAATGTGTCATGTGTGACTGACTAATCATACAGAATATTGAGCAGTATGAGGGCTTGAACCAGGCCAGAATGTAACTAATAAACCTATTCTAAACTTTACTATTAAATTAGTAGAGACAATATCGTTAGTTAAATGTACAGGTTCAATAAGTAAATACAGCTAGGCAATTTAATCAATTACCTACAAGCAGTGATTACATTGATTAGTGTTGTGTAAATTCTAATATTACAATTAAATTTATTGTTACAAAAATAATCAACTAATCAAAATTAGTGTTTCTCATTATTACTGTTTTTGTTTATTCCAACACCTGATTAATCAAAACTACAATAATCAACTAATCACAATTACAATTAAATCAATTGTTATAAAAATAACTAGGAAATTTAGGTTTCCAATTATTACTGTTTTCTGAAACTATCCAAGTAATTTAAATATTGCCATTTATTTGTTGTTGTTAAACACACACAGCTACATAAGTTATCTGCCACTGTCACTGATTTTGAGACTTTTGGCTATGGGGAAGGCAACTGGCTGACAGAGCCCACAGCCAACTCTCTGACTACTTTAGTGCTAAATAAAGTGTAAATTTACTGTTTTTCACATTATGTTATGTTCTAATTGCATAACAGTATTCTTTAATCCTGTATAAGCAGGCATGGATCTAGGGGAGGGTGTCTGGACTCCATATCCCCATTTTTCAGACATTAATAACTATATTATTTAATGTTGTATAAGTAGCTGTAGATCTAATGATATCTCGATCCCATTGCATTTTCTTCCAGAAATTATATTATTAAAAAACACAGCCCGATGTCCCTGCATTACCATATAACATCAAAAAGAAAATTATACGTGAGTATTTTTATTTGATTGGGCTATTAATTACCATAAAAGCTTTTCGAGATTTTCTAAAATGACACAGTTGGAGTGTTCTTAGCCAATAACTGATGATTTCTAAGCTAATACAAAAATATGAACATCAATTAAATATTTCCATGGTAAATTTTAGCATCTTGGCTTTTTCCAAACACTCGTCTATTTCTTGAAAATTCCTAAGGGTCTAGATAGAGAATACAACATTAAAAATATACATATACTATTCCTAATACTAATGTCTTTAGATAAAGAATACAGTGTTAAAAACATATGTACTATGCCTAATACTAATGTCTTTAGATAAAGAATACAGAGTTAAAAAATACATATACTACACCTAGTATTAATGTCTTATGAAAAGTATAATAGTAATCATTCTTTGCCAGATTGTAAAATGCATATATACTTTTTGTATCAAATGTTTATATAAATAATTTCGACTATTGCTGCATTTGTCGTATCACAACCAGCCTGAAGAGCTGTGAATTGAATGAAAAGTATTGTCAGCAATGGATATGACAAACTTAGTGTGATTCGAATATTACTATTATAAATTCATCTGGTTCTTGAGGAGTGTTAAAGGGACTAAATAGAGAATTTAGTGTTTTAAAAAAATGTAACAGGCCTAATACTAATGCCTTATGACAAGTATAATTGTTTTTAGTATTGCTGATATCTAAAACAAGTGAAAATGCAGTTGATACGACTGTAAAAGTAATGACATTTTAAAAACTTTTGAAACCAGGTATCCTGTTTATAAATAATCATAATTATTTAATTCTAATTTAAAAAATTAAAAATTGAAACGTTTGTTATTAGCTGTGTTTATTTTCATATCAATCACATTGCTAGAGATAAAGATATAAACTTTAAATTTACTGGATTATAACCTCACTGAGCTAATCATTTGCAGAATATATTAACATTAACTTTGTTTGACTACTTAGGTCATCAATTATGAATCAAAAATAATATATATTATAGTGAATATATATATATATATATATATTATTTCACATCTTTCGTGTGAAAAAAATCCTGAAAATTTGGTTATAATGTTACAGAGTAAACTTTTTAAAAATTAACATTGTAAAAATGAAACATTACATCAGCTAGTGTGGAGAAGTTAAACACTGTTACTTGTTAACACAATCATATCATAGGAGCAAACTTTCTAGTTTTTCTTAATCATTCCCTAATGGTTTGCAAACATTGTAATATAAAGTTATAACTATCAAAAGTTTTATTTTAAAAACAAATTGATGTTATTTTAATTTTTATGTTGTTTGACTTTAAACTTAGGCTACCTGAAGAATATCCAAAAATATATGTCCTTTGATTTTTGCCCAATAAATATACTGAGTTATGTGTATTTACTTCCCTTGGTTGTTTACAGTGTGTTTGATTAGCTTCATAGTTATAGATACAACACTTAAGGACAAGACATTGGTGTAAACATGATTATAAACACGTAAAATAATACTAAGTTTGGAAAAAGCGTAAACAGTGTTAATTATACTTGTCATACAATATTAGTATTAGGCCTATAATATTTCAAACACTATATTCTTTACTTAGGGATTTTCAAGAATTAAAAAAGTGTAAAGAATGTAGTGTTAAAGATATTATACATTCTAATGGCAAGTATAATGAATTATAATCATGCTTTGAAAAAGGCATTCACACAATAAAAATTGTTGTACACTGATAAGTAAATAAATCTTTTATAGATCCTAAATGTTAAACATTGCAACTGCATTGAATGTGTAATACATTTTCATGTAGAAAGTATAAGAGTCAAAAATAACTTAATTTTAAATTATTGTGCCTAAAATCTGAAGAAAGGGTTTCTTTTGGCTTTTCATATTTTTTGCCACTTAATAAAATCTTTTGAGATACAGATTTTAAAGTTAATTTTATATGTTAGTTATAACTATATTTCAACAATTTTAACTCAGAAATATTTTAGAATGAATATTTCTAACATTTATTTCGTACAATTCATGAATCAAACCAAAAGTTCACATTTTCATTTCTGCGAACAGTTTTAACTGTAAAGAAAACAACCCATTTATCGATTTAAAAAACTAAATTTCTGTTCCTCCCAAAGAATAACTTTATTTTTGCTAAGAACCTATGACCCACTGAAAATATATTATCCAGTTCTTGATTTTCAAGGTTTTGTGCGAGTCTTGGTTAAAATTTTGCTATGGCACCACATCAAGTGGTTTGATCATTTACTAATAAAACACAACTTTGAAAACTGTTATAAAGAAAGTTTAAGCATGATTGGATAGAACTAGAATTATACTATGACATCACAGTAGAGAAATACATCCGTTTAAGAGTGTTTGTTTTTTCATTTTTAAGGTTTTTGTGAATGTTCCTTTCATTTTGTGAAAATATCTGTGTGTTAAATCATATCTGTTTGAAAACTACAGAATTTTTTTCAATGAGAAGATATCATATAGTTATCATATGCTAGTTGATTAATCAAATGTGCTCAATTAATGAGCCTGATGATTGATTAACTAGCAGATAACACTAATAACACAGCTCTAAATAGAAATCATTCCATTTTGTACAACAATATACCATTTGTTACATCTACCTGTATTGAGCTGAGTATGGTTTCTTTGAGATTTATAAAATTCCTAAGATACAACTCTGAATGAAGCATGTTTTTTTAACAGAAATTTAACTGTGAATATGTGTAAACCAAGTAAATTCAAGTCTTCTTTATTTGGTCAGTATAATAATATACATTGCACCCTGACTTCATGATATAATATACTTACTACTGTAACACAATCAAATAAATTGTATTTATATGTGAAAAATAAACAAGATGTTTACTTTTTTTTACATGACACACCAAAGATATGCCTATCTATCATGCAGAGTATATACCTGTTTTTTTTAGAAATATTTGTTATGTATTACTAGCTCAATGCCTGCCATATGTCAATAAATGGTGATTAATTTTTCTTCTGAAAATTAAATCTAAGTAAATGTTTTATGAACATGTTTTCTAAAATTTAATTTTATTATAGTAACAATATATGTATAAAGAATGTTTACCCTTTTTTCTAGTATTTCACGAAAACATTTTTTGTGTATATTTGGTCATCTCCTGTAAATGGTTTTTGACTGGAAATTTGACTTGTTTTTGTTTGGAAATTTGTATTTCCGATAGGTACTTCCCTCCGCTCATAAGATTAGCTTTTCTCATTTTGTGCTGCCCTCTATAAGCAAACTTTTCCAGAAATGCATGCCACAAGCCTTCATCCTCCCTCTGTTGGAATCCACAGTTCCAACATGTCTCTCATGCAAATCATCAATAGGAGCAATAGGAGAGCACTACTATCACGTGACACAGGTTACTCCCTCTACGTCCCACTATCGAACATTACTTCGAAGTTTGGCAGAGATGCGAGCACCAGAAGATTGTGAGGAGGATGGGTGGAAAGAGTGAGAAGAGGCTCGAGGATGGAGAACTGAAGATAAAAACCGAGGTAATTTGT